TTCTTGACCGTATAAAGCCACTTTTTCTTCTGGGGTTAAATCTTCACGTCGTGTAATCTGGTCCAGTTCTTGACCTATACTCAGAGTGGATTGAAATTCCGGAGGTTTGGGTAGTTTTCCTTTGAGTTCATTCAACAGAACTTCAGGTACTAACACCATTTTACGACTCATTTTAGGAGGTTCAAAAGTAAAGGGGCAGCTGCTGAGATTAAAAAAAGGAAAAAAACCCACCTTTCTGCTTGACTAATAAAGCTCTTCGTCTCAGGACAGATTGGGGTCGAACCAGTCTCCTTAAGATGTGTTTCTTTGGAGCTATTTTTCGTTTCTGAGCCGAATTGAGAGGTAACACTCCTTTTAATAGGTTGTAGATGATCTCACAAATTTTCAGAATACAATCTCCAGAACAATGTTTCAAAATCCCCGTTTTTAAGGACGGGGAATAGTGAGGGTCCGATAACACTCTTAAAAGAGGGGCATGCGCTCTTAATCGCGTACAACATCCCTTTTTCTTCTTGGCCATCTTTGAAAACAATGAAGAGAAGTCTCCCATGTCACTCCCTTTTATAGTGTCTCTCTTAGGGAGGGGCATACCCTCCGTGTTTGTCGCTCTCGTTTTTATCTCTAGCTTTCTCCCTGACATAAATTTTTCCGCAATATCGGCATTTATATCTCAGGCCTTTAGGAATTGAGGCGTCGAGGTTGTCAAGGGTTGAAAAGGTGTTATTTTAGGGGAATGAATGGGAACTTTAATTCCTGGGGAGGAGGAGGGAATGTCCACATTCACTCGAGGAAACACTTCTAAATCGCTGGCTCTTTGACTGTCTATGGGTCCCATAGCACGATCCATTCTCAGTTCTGCTTGTTTCTTGAGCAACTCTCCTATGGTCTTTTGTCTTTGTTCCTTATAATACTAATTGATTTCGTTTTTTAGACTTTCGGGCATGGCTTTACGTTGAGCTAGAGTTTGAGGAGTGGTGGATTTTCGCCTTTTCGCCACTGTTTTCTTGGGAGCCCTTTTTTTCTTGGGGGGGGGAGCTTTTCTCTTCTTGGGAGGGGCTTTTCTCTTCTTTTTTCTGCTCTTTTGAGCTGCTCCTCCGACTCGGACCATCCAATCCGGAAACACTCTTTGTTTCTTATTATCGACTGTCACCACCACACTCTTCAAACGTCGAACCCGGCGTTTTTTAAGACTATTCCATTTAAATAAATGACGAATGATGACTTCGCCTAGAAATCCAGCTTCTCCGCGTTTTAAAATAGCCGTTTTTCTGTCTTGATCACTGGCCGATTGATCGGCAATGATCTTTAAATCTTGACGATGATGATTAATAAACTTTTGGGTCTGTTTATTGAAGGTAAGACCCCTTTCATTAAATTGCGAGCTCCCAGGGCAAACCAATTCAATAAGGCTTTACGCCCTAATTCGATTAAATGGGCTCGCTTTGCGGGATCTCGTTCCCGCTGTAAACGTCGTAAGGTTCTCACTAGTTTACTCTTGGCCGATGGAGCCATGATGAGAGTGAAATGAATAATGACCCAGAAGAGTGTGAAACACTTTTATTTATACTCTTGAGGCATGTGTACAGTCAACATTTCAAACATTCGACTTCTCAATCGGTATTCGTCTGGGGTCTGGGGACTCAGGAGATAGCCGTGAGGTACCTGGGTGGCTTCTTGATAAGCAGACATCAAATGAGGCAAGGCTAGCTGACGACTCAATACACTGATCTGAGTTTTGTCTCTGGGATTTTTGAATAAGAGTAAATAATGAGCATTCAAACTAATGGTGCGATGAGAGGCGGCTCGATCAAATAAATTCTGAGTGATGTAAATCACACTGGTATTCCGATGATGCGCTTTGCGGGTAAACCAATCCACAATAGATTCGATGGCCTTTCCTCCCATCATGTCGTCGAAAATGAGTAAGTGGGGCACACTCAAATTGGCTACTAATTTCTCGTCGTCTTCTGGAATATTTCGGATGAAAGACACTTTATCTTTTAAAGAAGTGTAAGCGGGTTGCCATTCCCGATAACATCACACGATTTTTTCGGGCCTGGGAGTGATCCAGTCTAAATTGTTCACCAATGTCTTGACGAATTCTGTTTTGCCCGATTTCGAGGGTCCAGCGACCACCATGGTAAACTCGTGTTTCAATTGAAAAGAGGGGAGGGGTGTCTCCTCGGAATACATGTTGATCAATGAAGGAAGAGTTGGGTTCAGGGTCCTATTTATAGTTAACACAGAAACCCATGATTTGTATTGCCCCCTTTTTTATAGAGAATACGAAGAAGAAAAACAACACACAAAACATTCAATTTTTTAATTCAAAGTCAACATATCAACATATCAATAACCATAAGGTAAAATGTTATAAGAGGGTAACAATTGTCTCTTATCGTACACAATTCTATACTTTTTCTCTAAAGGTTTGCTCACGACGTCATGATCACGGGTCGTCTGGATTTTGTTGGGATAAGGTACTGTGACTTCCTCTATTTCTCCCTGGATCATTTGATCTAAAGTCTCTAGGGACACGATCTGAGAGGTTCGATGGTTGAGAGTGATTCCTTTGACTTTAAGGGTCTCGGTTCCTTTGGAGGTCCGGTAACCATAATTTTTAGGACCTGCCGACATGAATTTGGTGATGTGATCCCCATCTAATTCGTCGGTCCTTTCTCCTAAACTATTGCCCCAGGTAGGATTAAAAGCTCCCTCCCGATGTTGGTAAATGATACTGTCCGTATCGAAATAAACGCCCCGATCTCCTAAAGATTGTAAAGTCTCGTAGAGGTGTAAGCGGGCATGGGCGGTGGTAAAACAAGCCAGGACCACATTTCCAAAGGGACATTCTTCGACGAATTCCTGTTTGTCTTGATAATTCACCAGCATCTTGTCCTCATTGGAATCCTCTTTATTGACTAAGAGTCGCATGCCCTTGATGTCGAGAGTCGAATGTAAGAGTTGCTGTAATTCCTCTTCTTCGTCCAAGTATCTGGTTTTGGGTAATAACAAGCGTTGAGCAAATTTTCCCCACAGGCAATTTAAAAAGAGTTTAGCGATGGTTCTTCTCACTGGATTCTTCTCGATACTGATCCAGTCCATTAGGATGCCTGTTTTGTCTAAGACTTGTCGAATGTAATCTTGTTGTTGTTCTGGGGTCTTACAGTCGGGGGGAAATCCGGATGCTTCCTGTCTGATCTTGAGGAAGGTATCGATGTACTCTTTAAATAACTCTTGACTGCTTTCTTTAAAATGCCACACTTCGTGTATTCGCTCTAAGGTATATCCCATGTCCAAGGCTTTATGTAATTCGGTCGTCACCCAAGTGCCCGTGAGACTACGTCCCTGGTTGGTGTGTTGACATCGATGTTGAGAAGTAGAATCCTGTCGTTCGGCACACGTTCGACATAAGGGAAATAATAACTTGCCTCCCGTCCGATAAGGTAATACGGGGTGATAGAGGGCTCGGGTGGTAAGACCCGACAATGAATGAGGCCGAAATAACTTCTCACGTCCTGGAACTCGTCTGTGATGATCTCGGGATGCCCTACAGGAAAAGGTCTGTGTTTCAAAACGTAAGGGTATAAGGAACAGACGTCCACGTATCTCATGTCCCCTTCCTCACAATATAATCGGGTGGCATTGGTCCGGCCTCCGTACAGGGCGTCTCGGGGGTTCAAAGGATCGGGAATGTCCAGGTCTCGTACAAAATGCTGTAAACTCACATCTCGTTGCACTTGCTGATCGAAATCGTGCTCCCAGATACTACGGACGGTGTACCACATGTCCTCCAAATCCGCAGTCCTTCTGAGGGTTTTCTCTTGTAATTGTTGATAAGTAAATTGGGTCCGGTGAGGATGAGTTTCGGTCTGTAGACTAGGATAGCAGGTGGGGCATCCGTGCCAATAGCACCCGTAAAATTCGTAGACGGTACGAGTCGCTTCCTGGTATCCGTCGACGGTATAATTTCCGATCTGGACTTCGCCTCCGTTTCTGGCATGTTGTATGTGACATCCACTCTGTTGACTCATCCAGATGAGCCACCGACAGGCTTTGGCCGAATATTGTCGTGCCGATTGATACCCCAGGTTCGGAATGATGGCAATGGTCTCTTTAGGCATGAATTGTCGACGGTAGGCTAAATTAGCAGCGCTGGCAAACGTGATGGATTCCTGGAAAGGGTCCACTTTAACCAAACTCTTGAGGGTGGTTCTAAACTGTGCACAGCATCGTCGTAAAATGTCGACGTCCGAGATACAATACTCTACAAACTCTTTCTGGAAATCAAACACTTTTCCGGTCTGTTGTTCGTACCATTCGAAAAAGGCCTGTCGTCCACTGATAGACATTTCGTCCGGTTTGTAGAAAGCTGCCGGTGGATAAGGCCCCACGTTATTCTGGTTTTGTTTCGTATTAAAAAAGTGGGGAAAGTAACCTTTCTTCAATTCGTCGAATCCGAAAGCGGAGGGCATCTTGGCCAAAGGAAACGGTAAGAAATTATACGAGTCGATGAATTTCAGTCCGCAAATTTCCATGTACAAGATCTTATTGCCGTTCATGATGACGTTAGGTTTCAGGGGGGCGGAATGCACCAGGTGATTCAAAATGAATTGTCCGTCGTATCCCTTGAAGTTATGAGCGATGATGATGGCCTCGTCGTGTACTAATGTGGAATTCTTAGTACCTGTTGTGGGTTGTAATAACCAGTCCATGAACTTCTTTAAGGTCTCTGGTCCTTTAAATAGGTGCTGACGGGGTCCCATGTGTTGACAATGAGGACAGGGTTGCTCTATGGGTAAGTGACTGCAATGCTGACAGACGCGGTGTGCCACACACAGATTAGGGATGTGGATGCCGGTTTCCTGAGTGCATTCGAAATCGAAATAAATGTAAAACTGTAAGGTGTCTTTCCCCTTCTTCTTCTTCTCGGGCTTCTGTTGAACGTAGCACCAATGATCGGCATCGACGATTTACTTACAAATCTTACATTGTTTCTGTCATCCGCACTTGTGATGAGGAAATAATTTCTTAGGTATCCAAGACAGACACTTCTCGCATAGTCCCATTAAACTGCAGACACTGGTGGTGGTCTTCTTACTATGGGGTCTTAAATGATTTTCGTAGCAGGTCCTGTTCTTAAAAATTCCTTTGCATTGCTGACATTTAATGTGGGTCCCGTCTTTGGGACATTTAGGGTGTCCTAAACAAAAAGGACATCGATGAGGGCACTTGGTCCGATGGTCTGTGACATGACTGTACCCCACATCGCAATGATCACAGTAATATTGGTTCCCCGTTACTCCCGGCATGGATAGGATGGCATCGCAATGCTCTTCGTCTAACAAAATGTTCAAATAAGTTCGATCTCCCCAGCCTTTGTAAATAGGCTCTAAACAGAGTTTAGTCGAAGTGGATTTGAACTGAAATATTTTCAGTTGATAGCGAGGAGCTAATACCTGTTGTAATTTTTCCCATTCTTTGGGTCTACAAGGTTGATTGATATCAGACCTGGCTTGTTTCATGAGGGCTATTGCTTCTTGTTTCTGGTCCAAGGACTTAAAATCTCCTAATCTCATGCGTTTCCATCGTTTTTCCCATTCGGGGTCTGGATGTTCGGGTTTCTGACTGTGTAACCGGGTGACCGCGATGGCTCTAGCAAAACAAAATTAATCCCAGGGATTGACGATCCGAACGATGGATTGTTTATTGTTCTTGAAAGTCTCCTTATTCACTTGTAAATGTTTGGTTCTGTTTCCACCACTGCCTTGTGGATACTTGACGTGAAACATATCGAATTCCAGGGAGCCGTTGCCCAGTTTGAACTCCTTTTTGGATTGTTGCACGGTTTCTGCACGGTTTCTATCTTATCTAAAATGAGGTCCTCGTTCAAATGTTAACATTGCGTAAACTCGTACCAAATCTCTGAATCCAAAGAATTGTGACGTAGGTTCAGGCGGAGGTAATCGTTAGGATTACACTGCATTTCCGATTTGACCGTTTGTAACATGTCTCTGAATAATCGACGAACGAATCCTGTGTTTTCCTCTTCTGGAAATTCTTTGAAATTGTCAATATATTTATTTTCCTGAGCTTTAAATTTTGATGAGTGCATTTCTCTATTCAGACTCATCTGATAATACTCAGAAATAGGCTTGGGTTTCGGTGGTAAATGAATAGGTGATTTTGGTCTCTCATGCGCCCTAGTCCTTTGTTGATGCTGTTGTTGTCTTTGTTGTTGTTGTTGTTCTAGTAGACCTCTTCTCTTTAATATTTCGGCATTTTTTTCCGGAGCTTTATTTCTTGCTCTCTTTTCTCATAAAGAATTGAATCTAATTCTCTCTCCCTTCTTTTTCGTTTCAATAATCTTTGAGCCTGTAACTGTTTTTCTCTAGTAGAATCCATGTCCAACAGCTGATGGCTCTGACTGTAAAATGAACCCAAAGTCGGAGAACCCGTATTTATACAGTGGATGACGTCACAATGCATAGGTAAGGTGGCTGACTAGAGAGTGTACAGAGACGTACACAGTACGATCAAAACGTAAGTTTAACCTATTTTTGCACACGACCCTTAACAAACCAAACCGTATATAAACCAGCGCTGGACATTGAGGATCACTCTGCGTGAGCACTTGGAACTCGACAGACTTGAAAAATATGTCAGAGTGTGCGCCCTTCTGTTTGGTTGACTCTTCAAATGGATTACTGGGATGATCTCTTCTCCTATTTTTTGAGGGTGTTGATGGCATTAACCTCCTTATCTTCTATTTTTGTGGATATTCTTTGACACAGTGTCCTATTTCTCGAAATCGATAGCACAGATCCTGCTGTTTTCTGGAACACTCAGGAGGATAGTGAACAAGCTCAACAAGAGGAAACTTCCCAAGATCGAAAAGGCAGAGACTTGTCTTCTCTTTTGTGGACATTGTTTGACACCATGTCCTATTTCTCGACATCGATAGCACAGATCCTTCTGTTTTGTGGGACACTCAGGAGGCCAGTGACCAAGCTCAACAAGAGGAAACTGTCCTTGAGGACCGATAAGGCCCAGAAGAAGAAGAAAAAGTAAATTTATGTGTATGTATGTATTGATTCTGAATAAAATTGCATTGTTATTGTCTGTCTTGGTTATTGTTTTTCGGAAAATCCAGTTTGAACCGGCTAGGCTTTGACTGTGAATGAAAACGTGACGTCATAATATGAAAACGTGACGTCATAATCACATTCTTGAATCGTTGCCAAAATCGTAGTACCAGCGTTGTGAATCGTAGTAGCAGCGTATAGTCAAAAAAGCTGTACAGGTAAGCGCCCCGTATTTAGGGACTGTGTACTGACCCACCTAGGCCCCTAAGATTAGGGTTAGGGGGTTAGGGTTAGGGGCTAGGGGGTTAGGGTTAGGGGCTAGGGGTTATCAATGGACAAAATTCCGTTCTTGTTTGATACATTGTTCTAATCCATTATTGTCTACAATAACAAAAGTTGTACAAATACAATCTATTACAATTGCTTTACCATTTGTCTCATATTTTGCTAATAAATTGCACTTCCATATCCTTCTTAAGTTAGTGGTCAATGCACTCTGTCTTAAGCACATTGTAAATAATTGATGATGTTTATTTTTCTAATTATAATAGTTGTCTCAAACCTTATAGGTTATTATTAAACCTCTGCTTTTGTGTAGGTCCGTATGTATTTGCTCCTCTCCTAAAGACAAGATAGGTAAGGCTCCTGTTGGCCCGATTTGGGTGTCTTTCAGAATGATCCAACAGTTTTTCCATTAAAAGCTGCTGTCACCCCTGCCACAAAATGAGAATTGGTTCGAAGATTAGAATATAAAGAGGTCATAGAGAGGTCAGGAAATTGGTCAATTTTTGAATTTTCTTATTTTTATGCAAATTCTCATCGATTTTACCGCACATTTTGTTCTGTAAAACATAGAGTACAAGCTTGCCTATCTACCAAATTTATATATTTTATACACTAGTACCAGATACAGATTATGTGTAAAAATCTCAGATAGGCAGGCTTGTGCTCTTTGTTTTCTGAACAGAAAAGTATCCCAAATATGATGAAATTCCACCAAAATTGAGGAAATTATGGAAAATGTCCTACTTCTGCATCCTCTAGTGGCTTCCATGTAAGCTTTGAATCTTAATTAGTGGTTGTTTTAAAGTAAGCATCATTTTTTTAACTTCTTAACTACAAACTATCACAATTTTATCAGTGTTCTGGGTTTTACATGGATAAAGGCAACAGCCATTACCCTATCTTGTCCTTTGTAATGTTAAATGGACTTTTAAGCTCTGAATACTGTTCGTTATCACTACAAAATTCAATTGTCACTTTCATGTATGAAGTCAAAAAATACAAGATATACTTTGACCTCTTTTTTTGAGCCCGGGTTGAGATTTACTTTGAAATTATGCAACAATTTATTAATAAAAAATATTGTCATCCCTGCGACAAAGCGAATATTGGTTCTGAGTAATGGGATAGACAGAGGTCACAAAAAGATTAGATTTTATGTAAATTTTCATATTATTGTGCAAAGTTTCATCGATTTTACAGAAAATTTTATTGAATTTGAGTGTCAACCAATGTTTACTATTCATGTTTTAATAATTTAGATTTTACAGAGTCATTGTTAATGGCTTACTTATCACGGTAATGAAAAATGATTTAATTAAAAATTCATTTCTTGTAATTCGACCCTAAAGGGTTTGATTCTCATTCTTGCTAGGAAACTGCACCATTAAATAAAAAAAACTTTTATTCAGAAGAATTGTATGCTTTATCTGATATAAAAATTAAGAATAAATGACAAGATTCATAGATCCCAATTTTAAAAGTTATCTATTCTAAAGACTCTTAATTGTCAATGTAGGTCGTTCATGTACATGTATCATTCAAAGCATATTACTTAAATGTCTTCGAATCTAGGGGGGCCTGTGAGGATGGGTTGTTAATGGTCAGGGGCCCCAACCATTTGGGGTTAACAAAGGTTTTTTTTGGCCACCAAAGAGCCTCTCCCCCACTTGCCCCTTTGGCCCTCCCGGTTCTTTTTCCCCAAATCGGGCCCCTCTCTGTTTTTAAAAGTTCTGGGTGGAAAGACAATAATTTCTCCAGAAAAGCTTTGTAAGGAAAAGGATCCGTCCGGAGTATATTTTTCCATTCAGACTGACATCGATTTCCGTAAACATGGAATGTAAATATTATTCACGGGACTAATTTTGCCCCAGCAGAACTTCCATCTTTTGGAAAATTTTACAACCATTTGAAAAAAGTTTGAATAAATCCAGATATGATCTCCGTCCTTTAATTTCAAATTCGAGGGGAGCGGTTCAAACTAATACGGGAAAGGGTAATATTCTTCCCATTTCATCTTCTAAAGCAATTTAGTGGGGGGCCCGAAACAATTTAAATTGTTCATCCCACAGCACAGGAATCGGGTTTAACATTTGCTCTGGGACATTTTTCCCCAAATGAATTTTGGTTCCCCGGAGGTCTATTTATACTCTCTCCCCCAGTCAAACACATCTAAAACTTTTCTTTTAGGAATTCCTCCTTTTTTTTTCTTTTTCTCTTAGGACCCCCTCGGGCTAAAGGATTCTTCCCTCCCGTCTGTTTTTTTTTTTTTCTTCTTCTTCCTTCCTGTTTGCCTTTTTTCTTTTTTTCTAAAGGGTAAAGATCCTCGATTGAAAGCAAATAGCCTGTATTTTTGGCCGCATTGAGTCCGTGGGTTAAAAGAGCATTTCGGATGTTTTTTCTTTTTCCCACCACATCCCTGCCTATCTTCACTGGATGATGGCTTGTTTTTCCCATGTTTGAGAAATCTTTGACAAATCCTCGACCTTTTTGTGGCCCCATGGCTAACTTGGTCGCTTCTTTGAGAGTCAAACCTGAGCCTATGCCCGGTAGGGGTATGTTAGGGACTGCTGCCGAGAGGAAGTTTAAAAAATTTCCTCCTTTTTGAGGTTTCATGTGAGTTAAAAACCCACCCAATTTGAGTAATCCTGTAAAGGAGTTCCCGAAGATTATCCAAGGGAAGGGCTCCCACCAATCCAGAATGATAGAACCTACTGCTCCGCCTTTTTGACGTAATAAACCTTTATGAAACCAACGTGTCCTTTTGTCTCAGTAATCCGGATGATACTGCATGGTTCATGTGCTTGTTAACTGACCTTTATTCCTCGGGACTTCCTTTTATACCCTTTAGGTGAATACAATACAGACAGCAGACCAGCAAGCCACCACACCCAATAAGATGGAACACAATAACGGTACATTCATCTCAGTAACTTTTCTGAAATGAAGTTTCACACTGATTTTCCACTTAAAAGGCATGGGTTCCTAAGGAGTCATGATGTGAATCTCAATGGTATCGAAAGTTTTTTACTTAGGGTTCAAATATTCCGCTCGAATGGGTTCCATTTCTTGTTTTGTCCTCAAAATGACAAGGCACCACTCTTAAGAGTTTCAAGGCATTGGACCTACGTTGGGGTTGAATCAATCACAATAACTACATGGATTTAATTTCTATAAATCCGTCTGTTCCCAGTAACTATGTTGATCCATTTGGTTTTTTCTGTATTTTGGACTTTGACCTCCAAAGCCAGCTTAAAGCTGGGTGTGGGAAACGTAAAGGGGTACATTTTCATATTTTTACATCACTCGTTAGGTTTTCGTTATCTAATTTCAAGATTTCTCATTTCCATCACCAGGTTTTCCATATTTTTTTCAATGTTTCAGTCTAACTTATTTTCGTAAGGCTTGGGTTGAGGCCCGGTCTAATGACGTCAATTTCTCTTGCTATTATTCAACATACGTTGATCCATCCCCAACATTGAGTATGGCATTGGGCATTTCATTTAAACTCCATAACATGGGGTTTTGTTGGGAGCAAAATGGAACCAATTCAATAAGTCTTTTCTGATTTTTCAATAAGGATAATCATTTCGTAAAGCCACTTCCCATTCCGTCGTAAATAGGGATTGTGGTAATAAGGTTTTAAATTGAGCAGTCGTATTGCTAGAAAAGAGGTCATGACCCATCACTGGGTAAGTCATGTAAAACCCACTGCTCTCGCCATGTTCAATCCTAAGACTGAGACTCT